TCTGCACAGTCCAAAACACAACACTCTGAGTCATGGCCACCTTCTTTACTTCACGGCTCAAAATACCCAGCACTATTGCTTAGCTGGCCAGAATTCTGCCATTCCTGTTCTGCTGTTATAGCCAGTTTTCTATGAGATTAGCTGCTCAGATCTATTTACAGGTTAATTTCTTCACCATCAAATTTATTACTGTCTTTTTTTTTTCAGTTCAATCACAATTTGCAAACTGGAATCAATGACCAAAACTCTGTCCATGCAGCTTGTAACAGTTCACTTTCAAAACACAAGCACTGCAGAACAAACTCGTTACAAAGTACTTCATAAACTTCTGTCAGTACAGTAGGATGTAATTATAAATTATTACAGCTTTTCCAATTTAATGAGTACATTTAAATCTTGAAGTGATGGTGTTACTGCCTGCACTCAGCACTCAGACTTCAAGAAAAAAATGTATTTCACATTCACACCATGCAGAGTAACTGGTAAGCACTGACATTTTTCAGAAGAGCATGTATTACTTAATCTGCCACATGAAGGCATTTTGTGATTTGTAAACTATTTTAAACACTACTGGAATTCAAGTTTTCTGGTTTATACATCTTGAAAGAACTCCTAACATAAAATTTTTGTTCTCGGTCCTCAGTGCATCATATTGTACAATCTTAATTCTTTTTCTCTTGAATAATTTGAAATTCTAGCATTTTCCACAAACACTCACTATTTATCTGTCACATGCTCAAACTAACGTTCAAGAAATATTAACTACTTTAAGACTGTTTTTACTAAGAACTTTTAAGGAAGTTTGTCATGAGAACGTGTTTGTACAGTTTCCTCCAATTACAGCTGACAAAAATCTAACAACTAACACTGCAGAAAATCACAGGAAGAAAACATTTTTAGCATTTTATGAATTTTAAAAGAGATAAGAGACCATGGGCTGGTTGAGAACAGAGGCTTGGTGTCTGATGCAGCTCTCTTACGTTCATTAAGCTGGGAACCGACTGCCCCCTGGTGCAGTATTTCTCCATGAAGTTCAGTTAGCATGAAACTGGCCACAGGACTTCGTAATAAAAAGAAAAGAATAAATTATTATCTATATCTGGTTGTTCTGGTTGTGTCATTAGAAAAGTTAAATAAACAAAGTTTAGAAAATATTGAGAAAAATGATTTGTAAATGTTTCAAGCACTGGCATTACTTAAAATGGTTTTTACCTCGCTTCATTCACAGAAGAACTTGTATTCACAAAACTGAAGTGGTTCTAAAAAAAAAGTTGTTCTTACTACAGCTACATCAGTTATACTTGCCTGATAATTTCTATTGATGAGGTTGGGTGTTAATATGACACACAAGGAAAGAGTTCTCTTAGAATATCTGTATGGAAAAGTAAGTATGAAACTTCCTCATGCAAGCAAGAAAGACAGGTAAATACCCTGTGACTAAAAATAAGGAGTTCAAGTAGCTCTATATTAAAAAGCAGCATTTCAAAATTTGGTGTGCTTAACCTACAACATTTTTTTCCAATATTTTATAAAGAGAAAAATATGCTAGATGTAAGCAACATATAATTCACTGTACAGTTCAGCTATTGCATATTATTTATTACATAAAAAAACAAGAACTCCAATTTTTTACCAGTATAGAAAAACACAATATTTGGATTTGTACACACTGCCACTACACTGTTCTCACTGAATTTTTCAATTGTATTTCAGTCTAAATAAATGGCAATCATTTGATATCTTTAGTGGAATGAGGTTACTGTAAATTCTGGAAGACACATGCAAGTTTACAAGAAGCAACTTCTACACAAGGCCACTTTGTTGAGGTCCAGAACACAGTACTAAAATAGTCTTTTATCAGGACAGTTCAGGAAAAACAATTGAATCAACCCTATTCTGTGAATTCCACAAAGAGTATAACATATTTTTTTATGATCACATTTACAGCTTCATGGGATTAGTTACCCTTTTAACCATCATTATTTGAAGCAATTCCCAAAAGATTAGTTGTTACAATTCTCTCAGAAGATTAAAATCCTGACTTTTCTAACACTCCCAGCTGTTTTCTTATCTACATAAATGTCTAGCCTTTTGCTGAGTCTTGATGTTCTCTAGTCCACTTAGTTCCTCAGGGTAATTCTGCCTTGTTAGAAAATATTTTTCCTTCACTCACTTTTAGAATGGTTCCACTTAGATTTCTTTGAGTATCCCCTTCATCTTATGTTATTAAAAAAAATAGCTACCTGCCCTGTTCTCTCTGAAGAATAATCTTTCATTATTCTCTGTACATTACCACCTCACTTCTCAGTGTTTTCTCCAACGCCTGGACAAAAGAAAGAGTTTCTATCCAAAAATCAATTATTGGTTTGTGTCTAACAATTAGTTGGCCATAAGAACAACTTCAAAATGAAGCCCAGACTTTCTTTCAGAATGTAGTATCTTGCATGATTTCTTGAAATTATGCTCAATTACATCTCTCAGTTTTTTTGCTTGCTTCATATGAAAACTTTCCTATTCCTCTACTAATTAATGAGCCAACTTTTGCTTCTGTTTTGTTTCTTTTAACACAGGGAAAAAAGAACAAAGCAAGTACTGGTGAATAATAAGATGTAGTTGTATTTTCTTGACTTTCACCCTTTTGTAATTCTTCCTCAAACATTTTTGTATTATGTTTACCTTTCACACAACTTTGCTTATTAAAAAGTAAAGGAATTTTAAAATTCTGATCTTATTAAAAAAATACAGAACTTGTTAGGGATGTAGAGGCTGATGCCAGCATTCAAAGCAGTGACCATGAGACAGTGAAGTCTGAAGGGAGCAAAATGAACCCTGAAATAACAGCACTGAATTTCAGGAGAGCAGATATTGGCTGGCTCAGAGATTTACTTGGCAGGATCATATAGGAGACAGTTCTAAAGGGTAAACAGGCTCAGGAGACTTAGATATCTCCAGGGTCAACCTTTTCACACCACAAGATGCATGCCAATGCACAAGAAGTCAGGCAAATGTGGATGAAGGCCAGAAGGAAAGAACTGATAACTTCTGACTTAGTTTAAATGCAAAGGGAGGAAATATGTAGAAGGTAACACTGAGGAGACATAGAGAAGATATACAGAGACACTGCCCAAGCATACAATGATGGCATTTGGAAACTGAAAGTTCAGGTGGAGAACAAACTAGCACAATTAGACAACAAGAAAAGTATATATGTGTACAGGCAGCAAAAGCAAATCACCAAATTGGAGAGAGGGGTCAATACACTGGAGAGCTGGGCTGCTGTTCAGAAAAGCTCTACATGCTGAAAGAAGGGACTAACAGGACCTCATGAAGTACTACAGAAGTGAATGAAAGCCTGCACCTGGGGTGGAATGACTGTGCAACACTACAGCCCAAGGCTGTCTGTGTGAATGCAGCTTTGCAGAAAAAAACCGTGGGTCCCACAGGCAAGCTGAACACAAGACAGCTAAGTGTTGTGGCAGCAATGAAAGCCAGTAGCATCCAGAGCTGTTTCAGCAAGAGGATAGCCCACAGGTCAAAGCATCTGGTTATTCACCTTTACACAGTTCTGGTGAGAGCAGATATAGTCTGCCGTGTCCCGTATCGGAAAAACATCAACATGTTCAAGGAATGTTTAGATGTTGTGTTGAGGGACATGGTTTAGGGAGAACTATTGGTGATAGGTGGATGGTTGGGCTGGATGATCTTGTAGGCCTTTTCCAAACTTAGGGATTCTGTGATTCTACGATATGGGAGCAAGTCCCACAGATGCTGCAACAGATAACAGGTAAGGAGAAGCTGAAAGAACCTGCAATTAAGTATCAGTAAAAGGAAAAAAGAAACAAACAAACAAACACCATAAGGGCAGTGAAATACTTGGACAAGCTGCCCAGAGATGTTGGAATCTCCAGCCTTGACAATAGTCAAATCTGCCCTGGAAAAGGCCTGGAATAGCCTAATCTTGCTCAAAGTGAGGGGTCAAGACAAGGTAGTCCTGAGGTCTTTTCCAAAGAAAATTCATCTGTGATTCTATTCTAAAATTCTGTGTTTTAAAAACAAAGAAAAACACAAAGAAAACGGTAACACCTGCAACATACGTATCCTGAGTTTCACACATTTTTACCCTTTCAAACACAAGAAATAGTATTAGGCATCAAGGAATATAAAGTGCCTTTAAAAACACACTTTAAAAACAATTTGTGAAACTAAAAATTAGTGAGATTCAAAAAACAGACTTCTAGAAAACATCATCAATGTTTGTCTAAATGGAATCATAGGAAAATATCCACTATAATCAACAGGAAAAAAAGTGCAAGAAGCCTCTAACACCAAAGCTGCACCTTTAGCTAATGCTGACAGGGAAACCTGAAGACGTAGTAAAATGTATCACTCCCCCCAGAAAAAACCAAACTAATACATTAAATATTAAAACAAAAACAAAAAAGCGCCCTGCTATAATTTACTTGGGTAAATACATGCAGTGTGAAAAATTTAATTAGAAGTACTATTCCAATGCCATTCAAATCGCTAAACTATACCAATCTCAGAAGCACTCACTTTATTCATTTTGCTAGGCATCCACATGACAAAACACAGAAAAAATAAAATATTTTTAGAAATAAAAAGAACTAAGAATATGAGACTGTGAAAATCAGTGACAGTACAGGCATTCTTAGTTAGACAGCACTATAATACCCTAAATGGACTGAATATTCACACTTACATTTTAAATTTCTTGCATTTTGTGCATTTGATTACTTCTGTCTGTATGGTGAGGCAGTGTTAATTTATGCCTTCCTACAGGGATAACTGTTGTCTTTGCCAGCACCAGAAACTGAATCAAGAGACTCCGGAGCTAAAAGCTAACAGGCTACAGTCTCTTAACTCAGAGCTGCAGATTCATGTTTTATTCATAGAAGCAGATACCTACACACCAGCTTGTGAAATACATTCCTCTGGCACATAAAATTTGTATTTTGCTTATCAAAAATTGCAAATCTTACCTTCAGGTCACTTCCTGGCAATGTACCTATGCCATCCTTCCAGTCCATAACACTAAATACATCAAACTCCTGGCCATTTCCGCTGGAGGCAGATTCATTCATGATGCATGTACTAAGGAAAAAAAGGAAAAAGAAAAAAGATTTTAAACTGAAAATATTAAAAATGCTCATTCCACTGGATATTTCTTTAAACGCACTTCATAGATTAGTATTAAACACTTCTTGGCATAGAGACAACGTGGACAACTGATGACAATGCTGATAATATAAGCTAGTGTAAAAGCAACAAGGAAGGGAAAATCTTCTGAAAACATTAAAAAGTAATCCCTCCTTTATACAGCAGGAGGCTAGTAATGAGGCTGAATTGGAAAGAAAAGCAAAATCTCAAACTGCAAACAAATTGGCATGGGGAAAACATATATTAGGCATACCTAAGAAAAACATTTGTTCTGGGGAATGAGACAGAAATATATTAAGAACTATTAAAAGGGGCTTATTAAGTTAAGAAGATATTAAGTTTTCCTGAATAACTCATAACATGATGTGAAAGCTTTACCCAAGTTCAAATTAAAATTGCAAAATGAATTTAAAACTATCTTTCATTTTCATTTTCTGACTCAGGAGACCCAGGTATTCCTTGCCTGTCTCCACAGAGTTTCACCACGTATTTGGCTCATATTTGTGAAATTCATTTACATGTAGACACGCACAGGAAAGCATATTCCAGCTTCACAAGACCATATTTTACCAGATCCCCCTGATTCAGTACAGTGAAAGCAGAGGAGAAAATACTTATCTTTAGAAATACTGGATTTGGACATTCTTCCCTGTGGCAAAAGTTTATCTACACAAGCAACACCACCACATCACACTTGCCACTGGTGCCTGGCTTTGGCCCAGCACTTCTCTCTATCACAAAGTCGACATCAGTTGCACTGAACTGCAAATGGAAATATTGGCCATTTGTGACTAGCACCAGCTTACTGCTTCTTTACTGACTGCTCCTTTCTGCTTCTTACCAATCCAGTGATCTTTAACTTTGTGGCCTGGCACCTCATTTAGTATTTGTTGGATGTGGAATCTGAATCATCAAATCCCTCTATGAAGGGACTTCAGCGTTGTGCCTAGCAATTGAAACAATTTATGGCAAAAATGAGTCATATCTTCAGTTTGTGAGCTATTAGCAAAAGCTTATTTCTTTTCAAATTAACACTCCTTGAACCCTTTAACACTTTCTAAGCCTCATTTTCCATCTGCAGACTGACTACAAACTTTTCCTGTAAGTATCAGTATTTGAAATTCAAATAGACAGGTAGGTTTCTTTGACCTTATTTTCCAAAATCTTAATATTTAACATAGGTCCTACTCTCAAAATTTAATTTCCACGAATACCTATTAAAGCTCTGAAAATCTAGAACATCCAAAAAGACTGAGGGTGACATCTGTTTCCTCTCAGTCAACAGAAAAAGATACAAACCAAGCACAAGTAAATGTGGATCTTTCAGAAGCTTTTGACTGAAAGTGTGAGGAGAAAAACACTTAGCTAATCAACTTTGTGGTATGAAAAATATTTAAGTTTACTCTTTTTTTTTTTTTTCATTAGAAAAATTGTATCAGTCAGTGGAACACCACTACAACCGGCCACTATTCCAGCACTGTGTCAACAGTGTGACCTCCCTTGTGTTTCTCCTTGGTTTCATCCTTGTTTCCAGGACTGTGCAGTTTTTACCACCTTGAATAATATCTCTCACTGAGCACTTTCACTGCCATGACTACCACATGACATTAAGAGGACAAAGATGGACTTCAGCAGTAAGCACTGCTCACACTGAAAGTGCCCACACTGTCCTTTGCTCCATGGGTCAGGTAGGTCTCAGCAATGGGCCAACAACGTGTGCCTACAGAAGGCTCTCTGACATAAGGCCACATATTCCACGTGATGCATCTGAAGTAAGAACTAAATCATTTAATTTGTCTTTTCAATCACTCAATGTAGTTTTCCTTTATGAGAAAATACTGAAAAACATATCATCAATGCACAAAAAAATTAAAATATACCAACAAAACCAAACAAATCCACTATGAACTATGAAATTCCCTAAATCCCCAGACCTTGCCTTTTAAAAACTCTCCCAGGCAAACCTCAGGGCAGCTCCCACAAAACAAACTGAATTTGATCTGAGCCCAGAGTACGGTATGTTGTAGATCCCAAGCCCACCATGAAGCCAGTCTTTAGCAAGGCAAGGAAGCAGCTCGTGTGCACTGACACCAAACTCAAAAGCAGTACAATGGCAGGGACACCAGAATTCTCTCAAAACACAAGACCCAGGCTACTAAGAAATAGCTGAAAATTTGATCTACCCAGAAATCCATGAAATAGAACACAAAATACACTTCTCCAAGATTGCTGGTATGACATCCTCCCCACAACTGGCCTGCCTAGGCACAGACAAAGCTGTGCTCTATATTAACTCAATTTTCTAACCCTATTTAGTGGATGCTCTACTCAGCCACTCTGTGGTTTGTTTATTGTGGAAAACACATTCCAAAGGTTCCTGCAGAAGGAATAATGAAAAGTGGAAAGAGGCCAGGGAGGCAACAGGGAAGCACTTCCTCGTAGTGGCAGCTGACCTGTGGGCCACAGTAAGCACTGCAGCACGTCCTGGCACCTCTGATAGTGCCACTGGTGTTACAGACGTGCTTCAGAACAGAATCAGTTGGGAAAAAAAAGACCAAGTCCAAGTGAAATCTTTGTAACAGAAAGGTACATGTTTCTCCCAAGAAAACAATTTTTAATTAATTACACCTAACAAAGTACCCCAGGTAACAATCAGCAATAAAAATACATTCCATTGTTCGATAACGTATTTGATATTGTTTTCCTTTTAAAATTAAGATTAGGGGCACAATCTGTACTTTTATATACTGATCCTCTTCAGCTTTCAGAAATGTTGGTGATGTGGATGAAAAGGTCACAGGGCAATGCAGATAGAAATGAATTTAACAAAGGGAATTACACTTAACAAAATATCTGTTTCCGGCTTCACTGAGCTTGCACAGATGAAAGATTGGTCTACATCTATCTAAAGCTGATAAGAAAGAGGGAGAAAAAGACCAATTACACTGTTACAGCGGTGAGATACTAAAAAAGGATGAAATCCTTTAGAAAGAGAACTACAGAATGTCTTATCTACTCATTTTCATTTTTAAAGCTCCGATGTAGCTCTTTGAATTAGTATAACTCCCTCCATAATAATTTCATTTGCTATTATTTCTGTTGCTACAACACTTCCAGAAAGTTTTTAAAATACTAGATGAATATAGGGCCAAGCAACTACAGGGCTGTGCCTGCGTCTGCCACCAAGAGCCATCTGACATGAAGGTAAGGCCATCCTAGTACGAACTTGAAACAGTCATTTTCCAAAATCCACTGTTAGGAATGCAACTGCAGTTTAGTCCTAGGAGCCATAAGCTGCAAGATCTAGAGAGGAACGTACTGTATTTTAATATTTCAATATTGACATTGCTCTAGATATACACACGTGAAGAAAAAAAAAAAAACAAAAAACCCTGAAAAACGTTAAAATAAGCATGTGTGTAAAATAAGATCAAACACATCCCTTAGAAAAAACCTTAGATTTTACCAACTGGTTCAGCAACAAATGAGTAGCTCACAGAAAAGATACCTAATGAGAATAACAGCATTAAAAATGAGATAGATTCCCCTGGTGAAAGATTCTCTATTTAAAGACTTAAAGCAAAGAAATAGGAGAGAATATGCCAATTAAACTTACAAGTATTTTTTGAAATAATTACAGGTTATGTACTGAGTACGCCAGAAAGTAATAATAGAAGGATTTTTTTATTTCAGTCGGTGCTTAAAAGAATTAACCGACACCTACCCAAATGTTGAAAGTCTAAGATGCCACCTGTGAAATACACAAGGAAGCACCACATGTGACTTCTAACCACCGGGCTCAATTCAGTATAGGTCACTGGGCAGCAGAGAAAGGAGCTTTCAAAAGCAAAGCCAGTAGTCAGCATTACCAGATTGGCATAACCTATCTGGATCAGAGCGTCCATTCTATTTACTCATTCCTTTGTATTTTTATTTTTACTTTTAAGGAATTCTGAAAACACGGCGCCGGGACAGTCGAGTTGCTTTGCTCCAGGAGAGGTTGATGCCAGCTCCCACCCCAGGCTAATGGCTCTTTCTTGGAGAAGTAAAATTAGACACAAAGAGCCAGAGGAGGTCTGAGCAAAAAAAAAAAAAAAAAAAAAAAAAAAAAAAAAGTCATGGTTGTCAGATCAAGTCTCTGGTGGCTGGAAAAAAGGAAACACTACTCCCATTTTTAAGAAAGGGAGAAAGGAAGACCAGGTGAACTACAGGATAGTGAGCTTTGCATCTGTGCCTGGGAAGGTCATGGAGCAGGTCCTCCTGGAAGAGATAATAAGACACATGCAAGATGTAGAGATGATCCTAAACAGCCAGCATGGCTTCACCAAGGCCCTATTATGTCTGATCAGTCTGATGACCTTCTATGAATAAGCAAAGACATCAGTGGACAAAGGAAGGGCAGTTGATATTTCTGATACTTAAACTTGCGCAAGGACTTTAGCATGGTCCTATACCACACCCGTGTCTCTAAACTGGAGAACTATGGATTTGAATGCTGAACTACTCAGTGGATAAAGAATTGGTCGGATGATCACAGCCAGACAATTGTGGTCAATGGCTCTGTGGTGGAGGCTGGTCATGAGTACTGTCCCTCAGAGATCCATCAATGACATAGACTTTGGGATGGAGTGCACCCTCAGCACATTTGCTGATGATACCAAGCTGAGTGGTGCAGCTGACAGAACAGAAGGGGGAGACACCATCCAGAGAGACTTGCACAGGCTTGAGAAGTACACCCACATGAACCTAATGAGGATGAACAAGGCCAAGTGCAAAGTGTCACACTGGGGTTGAAGCAATCCTAGAGATAAGGACAGACTGGGAGAAGGATGTACTGAGAGCAGCCCTGTGGACTGAGGGGTCCTGATGGACAAAAAGCTGGACATGAGCCAGCAGTGTGCCACTGCAGCCCAGAAAGCTGATAGTATCCTGGGCTGCATCAAAAGAGGTTGGCAAGCAGGGCAAGCAGGTCCAGAAGAGGGCCACAGAGGTGATCAGAGGGCTGGAGCATCTCTTTTAAGAAGAAAGGTTTAGTGAGTAGCACTTGTTTAGCTTGGAGAAGACTCTGGGGAGACCTCATTACAGCCTTCCACTACTTGAAGGGAGCTTATAAGCATGACAAGGATGAACTTTTTTCAGTCTGGTAATGATAGGACAAGGAGAAATGGCTTTAAAATAAAAGAGGGGAAGTTTAGGTTAAACACGAGGAAGAAATTCTTTACTCAGTGGGTGGTGAGGCACCGGAATAGGCTGTCCAGAGAAGCTGTAGATACTCCATCCAACCTGGCCTTGAGCACCTCCTGTGGGGGGCAACCCTGTCCATGGCAAGGGATTGGAATTGGATGGTTTTTAAGGTCCATTCAAACCCAAGACATTCCATGATTCCATGATTATAAGAAGCAGCAGGTGAGGAGGGTGAGGTCCAAGAGACAAAAAGAGACATCAAAGGAGGTGATATCCTTACAGCCCCTAGCAATGTCCCATATGCCTTATAGGCATGCATGGAGCTGAAAACACCAGTCCTGACAGACATGCAGAAACAAAGGCTCAAGTCTTTTTAGCTAGATACCACAGATGACTATTTTGGTCACCTCCAATGAGGAGACTTTTGGCAGAGAATCCACAGGCTGGAGGGGATGTACATAGGGGAAATGAAGCTGATCAGCAGGAGACAGTGTGTATCAGAACTGCCTCCTCTTTGGAGATGATGAAAGCAGATAAAGATATCCATGCCCTACTGCCTAGAAGCCGATGTGGTTGCAGATCTGGTACATTTGTCTTTATCTGCTTTATCACATATGTGTGGGAAAACTACTAGGGCTGAATCATCATAACACTCAGGCCAAACACAAGAGAACCACCCCACATAGCACATCTCCCCTTTTATTTTAGGCAAACTAAGGCTTAATCTAGCTTTAAAACAACAGTTATAGCAAAGGAAAGTTGCTCATAACTGCAGCACAGAGAAACCAGAATTACTTCCTATTCACTATAAACTAACCAGTGAGAGCCCACTTTTCTTCTCATGACTATCTGCTCAAGCAGGACACACCACACACTTGTCTCCTTCTCACCCTTCCACTTCTTGCACTTCTTGATTATGTACTTCAACAAAAACAACCCCAACAGGAACAGTGCAGGAAACGATGAAACATTTTGAGGGTACCCACTACATTTTAATATGCACTTTTAAAATCTGTTTAATGTTTTAATTCTTTTAATGTTCTAATTCTTTTGATGTTGCCTTAAAATAAGTATCTGCAGATACTTCCTTCAAAATCTCATTTTTCATCCTTGAAAAACGACTTTACCAGTTCTACTACTCTACTGTTCTGTGTGTTGAAGGACTGTTTGTGTCAATTCCACTACTTTGCCTTTTGCTCATGAAATTTATTACAAATAAGTTACTTTAAAGATGAGCTATATGTAGGTAGGAATTATATTCACAGGGGGACCTAAGCTTAAAATTCTTTGCCCTCCTTAGTACTCATAAGAGGAATTGGACCAGATTTCCTGTCAATGTTGTCTCCTTACTATTATTTCCTCTTGTTTTATCTCTTGCTACTTCTCTGTCTGCTGCACTCTCCAGGGACACAGTGTATGTTTGGCCTTGCTTCCTCGTAGATAGGCTTAAAATTTGTTTCCTTACAGAAGGAACCTGGCCACAGGCATTACAAACTGCAGACTGTGTTCTCTGTTAGGAGCGAGCCTGCACCAGCACTAAGAATGGGTTCTGAATCTGAATCTGGTCTCTGCCAGCAGCTAACACAGGTACCAATGCTCAGAACTGGGCAACATTTGCAGTTACAGACAGCTTTTGTCTACTCTGTCATTTTCAAACATCCACAGAACACTGCAATAACCAATACTGATACTGTTCCATCAAATAATGAAATTCACCACTAACTTCCAACTTGTTTATAGAGAAGTTGTACCTGAGGAGCTCTGAGGAAGGATCTCCTCTACAACACCTTGTTTGTTTCCGTCCTTCTCTGTGCAGTCCTGAATAGGGGTTAAAGACGCTCAGATACTAAGACTGGCATACAACTCCCAGTTTATTTACTCCCATTTGTTAACCTCTTCTATTTCCTTGAATTGGGCACAGAGTGACAGAAAACTACCATCTCCTTCCATTTGCATTGCAGACATCTCAGGAAGAACTGCGATGCAGTTCTTCACACTGTGCATCACCTGATGTATGTCAAATTGTCCTGAAGAGAAGTTAGCACCCAGTGAGCCCCTCTGCACACTCACGCCTGGCTCATGCCCTTCTCCTCCCTTCTGCCTGTTCTCAGTAGCCTCCACGGGGTCTGCAATCCTTAAACCACTAATTCACTTTTTTTTCATAGCTCCTAATTACTGGTCGCTACGTTTCTCCTTATCTCCAGTTCACAAAGAGCCCCTATTTCCCATTGTGATGAGTAGCGCTACTACTGAAGCAATAATAAGCTGTGGCTACATGCACACCATTGCTGTCTTCAGTAAATCCCATCCACGTAATCCCTGGTTCCTCACACCCACTGCTTACATTCCATAATCCTACCTGTCAGCGGTATTAAAATATGAAGGGTAACGGGAATAACCCACAAACGCCAACCCGAGTGATGCCCGACAACACTGAACCAGCCAAAGGGAAAGGGCTCACCGCGCCACCATTTTCTAGAAAAACAGAACTATTAAAAGCAACAGTGGAGAAAAACTCAAGAAATTAATAAGAACCATACACAGCAACAAACAAACCCAAAGTTCGCTACAGTTGCCCGGCTGACAAGAAACGCCCTCCAATGAGAGCGCTGCGGCAGCCGCCGTCACTGGCGCGCTGCGTCCATTGGGACCGGCGGAGCGCAGCGGAGCGGCGGGGTCCCGCGGCAAGGGCCGCCCGGGCGGCGCGGCGGCATCGCACCGGCACCGCACCAGCCGCGGCTCTCCGCCCGCGCGGATGTTCACCGGAGCTGCTGGGAACGGGAGAACTTCTGGGGGCAGGAACCGCTTTCCCGAAGGGGCTTTACGCCGCAGCGGGAAGGTTCTGCTCTGATTCTGAACGCGAGCCGTTCCGAAAGCAGCGTGAAGTCGAGCGTTCGCTTCTCGAGTTGTATTTACACTTTCCACCTGATTGTTAGCGCTCGCTGCAGAGCGTTGACTCACGCGCAGAAACAAAAAAGCGAACGCGCTCAGCCCAGCGCCTCTCAAAAACGAGCGGAACAACAACGAGAAGGCGGCTCTCGCTCCGTGTCAGCTCACGGCTCGCACAGCCCGTCCCGCTGCCCGCAGGTCACCGCACGGCTCCGCGCGTCACGGCCTTCCCCGCCGCATCCCGCGGGGCCGCGTTTCCAGGAAGCGTTACTCAGCGCCTCCGAGCGCTGCGAAGAACGCGGCGGCCGACGGCGGTGCGCGGGGCCGGCCCGGGCCGCTCCGAGCCCCGCACCCCGCCGCGCTCGGCCTGGAGCCGCGCCGCGGAGCGGCCGCCGGAGCGGAGCGGCGCGGGGCCCGCCGGGCGCGGCCGCCGGCTGCCCGCGGCCTACCGCCAGAGGTCCCTCCTTGGCCAGTTTTGCGGCGTGTTTTGCCGCACTTGAAACTTTCTGGCGGAGAAAACCCGGAGTGCTCAGGTCCGCGTTTCGCCCGGGCTCGGGCAGGAGCGCCGAGACAAAGCGGCCGCCCGCTCCGACGGCCGCGAGCCGGCAGCGCTCGAGCGGGGGAAGCGCGCTTCTCCCGCCGCCCCGCGCCGCTCTCCGCTGTTTTCTCTTCCCCCCCCTCCCCCCGGCCCGGAGCGACGGGAGCGCGCGGGAGGAGACGGACCCCCGGTCGGCGCGGGGGCGAGCGCGGTGCGCGCGAGGGTGGGAGAGGAACTGGGTGCCGAGGGTTCCTGAGGAAGTTGCACAACCAGAGAGGGACTCCGCTTGTTTACCGGGTCCTTCCCCCCCCACCACCACCACCCTCCCCCCCGAGACGGGGATCCGGGAAAGGGCGGCTGGCTCCGAGTGGAAGGGGAAAATTTTACCTTCTCCTCCCTCCTCCCCTCCCCCAGCGAGGAGGAGGAAGAGGAGGAGGAGGGGGGCGCGCTCTCTTTCCCGAGGGGGCTGCGGGATTTGCTCCTCGGCCGCTCGCAGCCAATCTCGACGCGAAGATCGCCCGACGGAGAGGTGCCCCTTCCCGCGGAGGGCAGCGCCGCGTCGCCCCCCGCCCGCCCGCAGCCCGGCCCCGCGCTCCAACTTTTTCTCTCACGCTCTCGCGTGCGGCCGCTCCGACGAAGCGGCCACAAAATGGGGGCGGCGGCGGCTCCCGACCCCCCGGCTCCCTCCAGCCTCGCGCTCCGGGCGGCCGCTCCCACCCAAAATAATAATCACAATAATAATAATAAAAAAAATCCCGCTCCCCCTCCCCCCGTCGCGAAAACGCCGCCTCACACGCACGTTAGCGAGAACAAGTGTGCCTATATCCTGTTGTTAATGCACCGGCTGCGGAGACAGAGCGATGGGGGGAGACGGGGCCGCACCCCCAGCGGCGCTCGGGCCGAGAGCGCGCAACTCGGGGCAGAGCCGCGCGCCGGCCGCTCGCCCCCCCCGTCCGGGCGCACACGTGCGCGGGCAG